TTGGGCCGTGGGGGTGTTGGAAGATGCCGCCTCCTGCTTGCTGTCTGTTGTACTGCTGCAGCTCATCTCTCTGAAGTATTCTACCTGGCGTTACAGTTACTCCTTTTCGCCTTATTTCTTATTTCACCGAAGTTTGCCATGAAGTGACTTTGTTACTTGTTACACGAAGTTATCCTGTTGTAATGAGAGAGCGGCTCAGATTTTCATACTGGCTCCTTTCACCGTGCCTTAGTTTGCACCGGGAGGTAGGCAGCAGGTCTCTGGGGTGAGGAAAGCCTGCGTAAGGTACCGTCTTTTCTGCCTTCGTGGTGGGTAAACACAGATCACTCAGTGCACAGGGACAGCCAGCTGCTGGCCGGTGCCAATCCTGTGCCAGCTCTATAGCTGTATAACCTTGGTTGTGCCCAGGCTGATGTCATTATATGACGTGTAGACTGGAGTCGGTTCCTGTCTGAGTGGCTCAAAGTAAGCATGTTCCCTTCGTTCATTGACCTAATAAGAAGAATCTATTTAGATGCTGAACTTCTACAGTCTTTTCAAGTTGATTTTTGTCCTTGTGTAGCTTATTAAACAGGTGTTTAATAAACTGTGTAGTAGCTTATTAACGTACATGTGTCTTACTAAGCAGGTATACAGGGATACATTTCAAAGTAATAATTTTCATTAAGCTGAAGTCTTATAACATTACTGTATAGCTAATACTACATAATCTGTAATAATAATGATTATTTGTTATATATATTACAGATATAGACATGGTCACATAGCTGCTTGTGAAAAAAGTATCCATTCTGTTTGCATTCTTGACATAATTTGATATTAACTTAGATTATTGATTTTTTCCGTTCTCCCTTTTTTATTATATATAGCTGAATCCCTGGCCTGCATTTATCAATGAGCGTTTAGAGATGTACAATAAACTTAAAGCTGAACATGATGCACTCCTTGCAGAAAGAGCTGCAAAGGACAGTAAACCCATTAAAGTTACATTACCTGATGGCAAGCAGGTTGATGCTGAATCCTGGAAGACGACTCCTTATGAAATCGCTTGTGGAATTAGGTATGATTCCATTCTGTGATGCACTCAATCATTTTCAGGCAGCTTAGTGTCTGCAGGTTGTGGCTGTGAGGGTACAGGTAACCTATAATTTCTCTCTTAGTCATTTATCTCAGCTCTTCTCAAGGCATCTTATATATAATAAACTGGGGGTAACCAGTAGAGTTCTAGTTTTAGAGTCTATTATTTTTGCCTTATAAAGATACAGTTTCTAAAACTAAATAAGAATATAATTGAGATCTTTTAGACGCACATTACTTGCATATTTTTCCCCACAAGTACTGCTATTGCACTAAGAACTAATTTGCTAATAAATTTACTCTATCAGATGGAATATTACCACATGCAAACTAGTTTGCGTTGACGTGGGAAGGATGACTGCTGGGCGATACTTCAGTTGATTTCAGAGAGAGTTAATACTATGCGTATCTTTCACTTAACTGCATTTTTACTTGCATGGGAGATACCCATCAGAAAGAGCATTGCACATCTCCAGGTTGCTGTGGAGTAGACTTGAACAATGCCTGCTGGACACCCTAACTGTTAAAATTACAAGAACTAGATGATTTCCTAGAGGTGAAATGCCATTTTTGTTTCATGCTTAGGTGCCATGTCATTAGAATCTTCTTGGCTTTTGTGATTTGGGATCAAGGAAAGGGTTTTTTGCCTAGTGGAAGCAAAACTGTGAAGTTACTACATCAGAAATGGTATTTGATAATTTTTAAAAGAGAAGCTCTGTCTTTTATTGCAATAGGATTTTGGAGTCAAGTTAGTACTTTGAGGTGGCTGCCTCGAAGACATTCATGTTAATGTATGAATGTCAAGTATACAGCACAGTTTTCTTCCATCATCTTTGAGGTATGAGTAGGATTTTCTTAGCTGTTCAAGACCGGCTGAACTGCTTTTTTATTTGGAATTTATTTATGACATTGTACCCACTTTGAGAACTCCTGAAACTCTTATTCAACATGGAGGGCAAATTTGGGGAACTTCTGATTGCTGTAAAGTTACTTCTGCTTGCTGTAGAATACCCTGTGTTTATTCTCTAGTCAGGGCTTAGCTGACAACACTGTTATTGCTAAAGTGAACAAGATGGTTTGGGATCTAGACCGTCCTTTGGAGGAGGATTGTACCCTGGAGCTGCTTAAGTTTGAAGATGAAGAGGCTCAAGCAGTGAGTATATTCTACCAAAATTTGTTTGCCCTTGGATTTGCATTAAACTCTGCCTTGGGTAGTTATTTGCATCTTTGCTGTGTTCAGAAGATGAAGAGGAGAGAACAAGTTTGCTGTGTAGGTGCATCTGCATTTTCTAGTAGTTCCTTACAAGGGAGTTGCAGTACTGCAGGTAATGTGCATTCTGCTGTGTATTTGCAGCCAAGTCTGCTAGCAATTGCTGTAGTTAGTCTGTTCTCATTAAAATTTTTTATTTGCAACCTTCATGTTAAGTAGGTCTCTTTCAGCACTGACTTTGAAAACAGTACTGACTACAAAAGTACTGTCTATGTACAATCATAAACCTGAGTAGGCTGCTCTTTTACTTTGTACATGCAAATGTCTGTGCTTTATTTTGGCTACTCATTCAGATAAATGTGCATATCCAGTAAATTTGTAAATGCTGTCCTTAGAAAAAATTATTTGGTACAAGAAGCTGTCATTCAAACTCATCACAGAAGTCTTGCATTCAGACTTGGGGTTTTCATATTGACTAAATGATGGCTTCTGTGAGACTGACGTTTTCTGGTCTGTGCAAATAAAAACAGACGGAGTCTTATAGATTAGGTTTTAATTTGTCAAAATTTCAGGTGTACTACTAGCTGAAGTGTAGTTTTTGACTTTATGAACTGTTCTGCTTCAGTGCAGCATTTCCCATGAACAAAATCTTCAGATTGGGATCATAGCCTTCTGCTGACAGTGCACCTCTTGGGCTTTTGCAGAGCAGATTGATTGAAGTGCATAGAAAGAAGTTTCTGAATTAAGTTCCTCTGTTCTTGACAATAATTGAATCATTTCAACAATGGTTGAATGTAAGAATTATTTGCTACCAGGCTGTAAACAATATTCCGGTGTTACCTTTTGGAATTACTGGTGCTTAGGATCAGAGTGTTGGCTGGGCAGGTCACTTCTGTTCCACAGACTACTCTGATGTGCGATCTGCATCAGGTATCCTTAAAAACAAGATTTTTCAGAAAAGGTTTTAAACTAAATACTTAGAAATGCATTGTGCGTGTTCAGACTGATCCTGCTTTTCCTTCCACTAGGTATATTGGCACTCAAGTGCTCACATAATGGGCGAAGCTATGGAGCGAATCTATGGTGGTTGTTTGTGCTATGGCCCACCAATAGAAAACGGATTTTATTACGACATGTTCCTTGAGGAAGGGTAGGGTTTATATTCTTTTATTTTTTAGGAGCTGGGGTGGTGGCATTCACAGCAGACATGGAACAGAGTCATCTGCACTACAGCAGTTTGGTTTGTTCTTTGCAGTGTGCCCCATCCACCAGCTAGTGCATTGCAACCCAGGTCAGAAATTGCAAGTGAAAGCAAGATTGATTCACTTTTTGTGTGTGTTTATTTTAGGGGTGTATCAAGTAATGACTTCTCTGCTTTGGAAACCTTATGCAAAAAGATAATGAAGGAAAAACAAGCCTTTGAAAGACTGGAAGTTAAGAAGGAAACACTACTTGAAATGTTTAAGGTAGACTGTTTCACAAGGTTGTTTCTAGCATTGTGCATTTATTATTTAAGTATTTGTAACTTAAGCCACATATTTGTTCTGTGAGTGTTAGAGAAGGTCTATCAAATTAACTCTTTAAGGTGATAAGTTCTTATAAGCTCACCTGTGATATTTAAGAAAAACATTAGCAAAGGTGTAATTCTTAGATTCTTGGGAATGTGCATGTTGTGCTTTAACTTTTGAAGTGCCACATAGCAGCTTGCTCACCTCCCCCCCCTCCTCC